ATGAAAACTGATGAAAAGGAAATGATGCTGGCCTAACACGTTGAAAATAAAAAAGAACAAATAGCCAGCTCCTCACATTGTCTAGGTTGACTCTGTTGTACAGGAAATACATGGTTTTCAGACAATTTTTCTGTTCACATGGAAGTTGCTCATTTTGGGAAAGATGCAATTAGCAATCCAAAGTTCAGTGTTTGTTCTCAACGAAAGTTAATAGTACTCTTATGAAATGATGTTAGAAAGCAATCAGCACTCCAATTTCAGAATGTGTACTTCATCCTTAATAATTATTTGGAAGGTTAACTACATGCATGTTGTTTGGTGGGGGGTAAAGCGTTATATGTATTGTTATGTCTTTATTGGAACGAACAACATTTTTTTATTTGCGTCCTCGATAATCATTGGAGGCGTAGAAAACAGCTCCTTCCTTGAAATGCCCATAGAATACTTGAAGTATCTACGGATTCACAAATATGGTACTAGGAAAGAAGTACAAAACAAATAATAATAATAATTCTCTCGACCAGAATAAGAAAATATATTTATTCAAAATAATTTATATCTAACATTATTCTATATATATTGTTAGTTTTAAGTAAATATAAAGAAACATTTAGTTCGAATTGTTTGTTATCGTTTCTTGTTTCAAAAATAAAATAATTTTTTTTTAATCAAATAAAAATATAAAATATTAAAAATTCTAATTTCGACTAACAGAAATCAAAAATTATATTTAAACTTTAAAAAATTAGTAGATAAATATGAGAATTTAGGATTAGTGAGATTTTTCTTTCATTTCTTTTTGTCTCTACTCCGCGAATTGAGAATAAGCAACATGTACCCACCTACTTGAGCATCGAGACCAATCAAGAAATATAAAGAAAAATTTCTAAATCATGAACAATAGAGTTTGGTTTAGTTGACAATGAAAAACTCTGCAATATTTTCTTTTTCATCTTCTTAACCAAACTTCCATTATGCAAAACCGCTAATTTGCCTTCATCTCTCCTCACTCTTCCCATTATCAGCCACCTCTATATAAATTTTTGTACTGTACTTTAGGCACACTTAAAACCAAGTCAAGTTTGATTTTTTATCTCAACTTTGGCTCTCTCCTTGTCTTTTTTTTTTTTCTCCTCTCCCTCTATCATCGCAGATTGCTTTGCTAAAAATGTATGTAATTCCAGCCAGCTAACCTCAATCCATGGTTGGAACACCTTAATTACAATTATACTGTTTATGGATGACCACCTATCCTTTAACAACCATCGCACGTTGCCTACCATTTTTTGTCTACTGGTGACACTCCGCCTTGTGTCTTCTGCCGCCTACTAGTCTTCTTTCGTTGTCCTTGCACACCTTACACCATCCACTACTTAACCAACCTACTGCCACCATCTAGCTATCACCACACATCACCAGCCCTCTGCCATCTATCAGCCACCCTGCCTACTTTTCACTTCTCCTGCCGCTTATCAGCCACACTCCATCGTCTATTACCATCCTCCATCGTCCCTGCTATCTCACACTTTTCCCCTCGCGGCCCACCCACTTGCCAATCACTTGTCGTTGTCGTCCTCCTCAACTTGTAGTCACTCCAGGTTCCACCACCTTTTCTCCCTACCTACTAGTCACTTATAGTTGCTCGTCTTCCTTCGCCTACTACCCGTTCCTGTATTGTCCATGCCCGTCCTCAATTGCCCTCTGCATCCCACTACCTGCCTTTCGCTGTTAGTCATTTGCCACCTGCTATTATCCACCACCCATAAATTGCTACTATCTGCATCCAACCGTCTTTTCCTGTGACCACCATTCATCATGCAAATAGTAGTTGTCGTTATTAAAAATTCAAGTATTACTAAAATTGAAAATTTAGTTAACTACTAAATTTTTTATTTTAAAAAAATTATTTTAATTTAATAAACATTTTAAAACTCACGGTAGAAACTATAACAGCTACCAATTATGCCATTAATACTCTCAAAATAACTTTTGAGTACTTTGAAAAAGATTATTAAATCCATAAATTTTTACTGTATTTAACTTAAATAATATAATATCTACACCGTAGAGTTCATAAATTTTAAGTTCATGATTCTAGTTCGGTTACTTTCACTCTAATATCGTCCCACGTGTCCAGACCGTGCAGCGCCGCGGCATTGCAGAATTTTCCTACTGATTATTACAATCATCCATGTAGAAATCTTTACTCCAGAAATGTTAGATGTGGGCAAGAGGCATTCGCATGCATAAACTCCAATTTTCCTCCATGAAAGAGGTGGAACAGATCCAAGCTTCTATCATCAAAGCTGGTCTCTATCCTCATTCCCCAATCATCTCCAAACTCATCGCATTTGCTTCTCTATCACCGTCAGGCTGCCTCGCGCATGCTCAGTCCATCTTCCACGACACCACAATGGATAATACATTTTTGTGTAACGTTATGATTAGGGCCTACAGTAGAAGCGTTTTCCCAATTAAAGCTTTTGATATTTACAATCATATGCAATACATGAACATTGAATCTGATCATTTTACTTACAGCTTTGTGCTCAGGGCTTGCGCTAGAGTTCTATGGTGCATGCGGAGAGACGTCAAGTATGGCGGGCTTGCTGTTCATTACAAGATAGCGGAGATTCACTGCAGGGTTTTGAAGTTGGGATTCGATTCTGATCAGTACATTGGGAATTCTTTTCTCCATTTGTATAACCAGTGTGGACTGTTGGATGTTGCGCGTCGAGTATTTGATGAAATGCCTGACCGAAATGTGACTTCTTGGAACATCATGATATCGGCCTATGATCAGGTCAATGATTTTGAAACTGCTGATTATCTTCTCGACCTGATGCCAAGGAAGAATGTTGTTTCATGGAACACGTTGATACGTAGATATGTTAGGCTAGGTGATATGGAAGCTGCAACAGCAGTGTTCCAAGAGATGGGTGTGAAAGATTCGGTTTCTTGGAATTCTATGATTGCCGGATACATTCATGTCAGAGACTACAGTCGAGCTCATGAGTTACATCGTCAAATGCAGGTTGCTGGATTGGATATAACGGATGTAACGCTTACTTCTATTTTAGGCGCTTGTGCTGAAACTGGAGCATTGCAGATTGGTAGGGAAATTCATGAGTTCTTGAAACAGAGAGGGTTTAATATCGAAGGTTATTTGGGGATTGCACTTATCGACATGTATGCAAAATGTGGGAGCTTAAGTTGTGCTTGGGAGGTGTTTAATGAATTCAAGATGAAGCCTGTTGGTTGTTGGAATGCAATGATTGTAGGTTTAGCTGTTCATGGTAACTCCAAGGAAGCTTTAGAATTGTTTGCTTCCATGGAAAAAAGGATTGATCAGGCTAGGCCTAATAGGATTACATTCATAGGTGTGTTAATTGCTTGTAGCCACCAGGGTTTGGTGGATAAGGGAAGGGAGTACTTTTACCGGATGATCAACGAGTACAACATTGTGCCTGACATAAAACACTA